TTTTATAGCAATTACAATTAAATACAAAATTTTATTGTAATTACAATCAAATTCAAAATTATTATAATTACCATAATTAAGTTCCAATACTTTATAGAATGCCACATGAACCTAATCGTACATGTATTATTCAAGCTCTAATAATTAAATTCTATCTTGTCGACTCTAGACCACCTAATCTAATTATTAGTTGATGCTACCAAAAAATTGTACCTGATAGACCGTGAATTTATGGTTTGAACTCCAAACTTGGATCTCACAAATGAGCACGAACAGTCTTCCGATACCTGAAACAAAAGGCAGCGAGGTGTGTTCTCGTCGCCCCTTCGATGCTTAAGTCAGACGGGGAGATTGATGGGAGAAGGTTTTGAATTTGCAGTAATAAAAAGCATACCTTGATGTTGAGCCTTGGCCAAGTATTTATAGGTGTTGGTGGGGGGAGCTCTAGAATGATTCTATTAGTGAAAGAGTCCTTTTTCCCCTTAGGGCTAGGTGTTGGAGTTTAATTAGAAGTGTATTGTTAGAGTTCTAATCAGGGAAGGAGTAGATTTAGATGGGGTCTACTTTTTGGAGATTAAGTCGATGGGTAAGGTCGAATTAGATAATAACCCCGACCTTATACCGGCATGACACGCCAAGATCAACTCGGGGGTCATAGGTCGAGGTCGAGATTTGTGGACGAAATGAAGTCGAGTTCGGGGCAACCAAACCTGAGTCATCATAGGCCCCCGTGCATCTGAGCTGTAGATCGTGCAAAATCTACGATCTCGGATTGAGATGAAAAATTAATGCAGTGGTTTGATATCGACCTCGACACCTGTCGTTTACCTGTTGGAGATCTGCTGTGTCACGTGTCTATCATGTAGCTGGTTGTCAGAGCTCGAATTTGGATGTTTGCCACGTGTCCTGTTTTAAGGGTTTAGACTAAGTAACTGTTGGTATGCCCATGACCCCTATAAATACCCCCCACTATTCATTTTCACTTTTTACTCTCCACTATCTGTAAAAAGAAGCTCGAGTTCAGGGATAGTGGGTTGTGAGCGATCGCCATTAAGGTAAGAGTTCGAGCCTTTAAGTTGTTAATTATTTGAGTAGAGTAATGTCGAGCAGCAGCAGTAGTGGTGGTGGTAGTAGTAGTAGTAAGGGGTCGAATAATAGTGGCAGTAGTAGGCCTTCTAAGAGCTCGAGGGATAATGAGAACCCTACTACCCCAAGTATGGTTGTCGAAACTCCGGGTGACCAAGGTCGAGATCTTGTTACCCTGGCTTTTCCTGTTAGCTCGCACTCTCCAAGAGAGGTGGTACTAACTTATCCAAAGAACCCGACCACCTACAAGGAACATGTAATTATTAAGATAGCTAGAGAGTTCGGGGTGATGCCCATTTGTGATGTTAGGGTTCCCGAGAGCACCAAAGATATCTTAGGAGCTCAAGAGAGGGAGATGACGTTTTTTAGGGATGCCCTTAAAGCTGGGATGCAGTGGCCTCTTCACCCCTTTTTTATCCACTTCCTTACTTCATTCTATATGTGTCCGGGCCAGTTGGCCCCTAACAGTTGGAGGCCGTTGGTCTATTTCTTTATGCTATGTAGATGCCTCGATATTAAGCCTAGGCTTGACCTTCTAAGGATGGTGTATGATATGAAGTACTCGTCGGGGTTCAATTGTTTTGTGTATTTGTCAACCAAGGGGGGCTTTAGGAAACCTAAGACCCCAAGCTCTCTTAGGGGTTGGAAAGAGAGATTTTTCTTTGTAAAACCCCAAGATCCCGACCATCCTTTTAGCCTGAGGTGGGAGATCCCTGGTAAGGATAGGTTTAATGAAGGTCAGGCATATTTTAAGGTTCTAGAGAGGGACAGAATAAGGTTAGTTAACCACGACCCTTTGGCAAAGAAGATCGATTATTTGCTCGAGGATGACACCCTCGACCTTGCAAATGTTAAAGGCCTCGAGGGTATGTCTTTTACTTTTTATGCTCTGTCGTCGTATTCCTGATGTCAAGATCGTGCTAATGCCTTGTGATTTGTTTCTTGCAGATCTAGAGATGTCATTTGATCCTTCCAAATTACTGGCCAATGTCCATCATAAGGCAAAGGGGCCAAAGTCCAAAGCCCGGATCCTACAAAAGGGGAAGAAGAGGGCCAGGCACGTCGATGTTAGGGTGCCTACAGTGGATCTCGAGAGCCTGGTACCTCCTAGGGGTCAACCCTTGACGTCAAGAAGCCTAACCTCAACGCCTCATAGGACGTCGAAATATCAAGATCAAGCTCGGAGGTGTCAGGGCGTCGTGAATTCAGGCTTCGAGCCTATTTCGGACAGTGCCCTCAAGGAGTATACAGAGTGTGCCCTTGTGAAGGACCTTGTTGATAGTTTCGAGAAGGAGGTCAACATTAATGAAGGGGTCAAGACACTGGAGGCTTTGACCTTAAGGATAAGATGCCGACCTTAACTGTATTTTTATTTTTTTATCTTTTTTGATCGAACTAACTCCGGGTTTCCTTTCCTTCTTTGTACAGACACTGAGTGTGGTGCGAGGTCTTACTTTGAATGGTATCAACATTTCGAATGAAATGGAGGAGCTTTCAAAGGAAAAAGAGCGAGCTGAAAAGCGAGCTTGTGATCTTGAAAAGGCACTCGAGGTTGCTGAGGCTGACCTCAAGAAGTCCCGAGAGGAACTTGAGACATCCAAGGCTGAGGTCAAGGATGTTAAGCTCGAGCTTCTCTAGTCCCAGAGGTGCTTTGGGGAAGAGTTGGCGAAGACTAGTGATGAGGCTCGAGCTCAAGCTGTTGAAGACTTCAAGAAGTCTGATGAGTTTAGGACCCTATTGGGACAGTGTAGGTCGGGCTCTTACCATTACGGGCTTCATTTTGCCCGTTCTTATCTCCGTACGAAGGTCCTTGAGGATTTAAAATCACTGGTCGAGGATTCGAAGATAGTGAACGAGCTTGTAGGGGAGCTCGAACTTTCGGCCTTTGAGGTCAAGGAAGATGATGGTGGTGATGGAGATGACACTGGGACTGGCGATCAAGAAGATGATGTCAGGGTCGTAGATATAGATTAGGTCCTTAACCTTGATGTTTTGAAACTTTTTGTAATATTTCCCGAACTGGGCTCAGTGCTTTTGTTTTTTAATTTAATCGATGAATGTTCGTGCATATTACTTTGTTTTCAATTTAATCGATGAATGTTCGTGCATATTACTTGTGTTTGTTTTTAATTTAATCGAGCTCATGTTTTCATTCAATGCAACAATGCTTTTGAATTCGATCAACACTTCGACGTTAAACATCAGGCATGTCTGAGCTCGATTCTTGATGTACTCGTTGAGGTCGAGCTTAGGGCCTATAAGTCATTAAATAACCCAGATGATGAGTTTGAGCTGTTTACTTGACTACAACTTGGGTGTTTTAAGCTCGAGGAACCTGCTATTAGATTATTTATCTTGTTGTGCAAAAGGCATTGGGCTCGTGTGTGATCTGCCTCCTGTGAATTCGATTGTTAAATAACAGGTCACAGTCATGATATGGAGTTATTGTCACGTATGGTCTTCGAGACTGTTTCTAGGTTGCAAAGGGGGTCAGGTGCGATCTTTATCATACGAAGAGGCCCGACCCAAACTTAGCCATTGTTGATTTTAAATGCAAGAGAGGTCGAGGTTCATGACCTCGGGTTTGTATGTCAGACCCAATGTTGCTACTTTTAGAGTACGAGGTCGGCTGCATGCTCGAGGCATGTCATTATGCTGAAGTTATTAGCTGCGTGCCCATAGCACGTCATTACGCTAACGTTAAAGAGTTAGCTGCATGCCCGGAGCACGTCATTATGCCGAAGTTATTAGCTGCATGCCCGTAGCACATCATTACGCTAATGTTAAGAAGTTGGGTACATGCCCGAAGCACGTTATTATGCTGAAGTTATTAGCTGCATGCCCGTAGAACGTTATTACACTAATGTTAAAGAGTTGGCTCCATGCCCGAAGCACGTCGTTACACCAAAGTTTAAGAAGTGCTAGTAGAAAGAAACTTGAATATTATTAGGTGCTCAAGGGTGCATAAACCCGAGCTACTGAAAAATAAAAATAAGGTGGGCGTGCAAGCCCTAGTACGACGCTATTGCTATTCTACTTGTAATATATTTTTAGGTTATCTGCATTCCAAGGCCTTGGGAGTGGATTTTTTGAAGTGTCTCTAAGGTTGTATGCTCTGCCTTTGATCCTTCGTATGACTTTGAATGGCCCTTCCCATACCGGTCCAAGTTTACCTAGAGGGTGTCCAGCTGCTTATGCTCTTCTTAGAACCAAATCGCCACTTCTAAATTCTCGTGACTTGACTTTGGTATTGAAGTACTTTTCCATTTTATTTTGGTAACTAGCAGCTCTCAGTGAAGCTTACTCCCTTACTTCTTCAAGTAAGTCAAGATGTTCGATTGTTTGGTCCTCCATGCCGGGTTCAACTCTCCTCAAAGTGGGGAGACTGACTTCGACGGGGATAGTGGCCTCTAAGCTGAAGGCCAACATGAATGGAGTCTCACCTGTTGCTGTTTTATGAGAAGTTCTATATGCCCATAGTATAGAGGGCAACTCATCGAGCCAGTCACCTATTGTGTTTCCGATATGATCCTATTTGTTACCTCAGCGAGGCCATTGCTTTGAGGGTGCGATACTGACGTCAGACGATGGTCAATCTTGAGATTGACACAGAAGTTTCTAAATTGTGATTTGTCGAATTGCCTTCCATTATCCGTTATAAGTACTTTGGGTATTCCAAACCTATATACAATCGACTTCCATACAAATGATTTGACCTTGGCTTCTGATATTTTTGCTAGGGGTTCGACTTCTACCCACTTTGTGAAGTACTCAACTGCTACCACAGCAAATTTTAACTGTCCTCGGGCCATGGGGAAAGGTCCAAGGATGTCTACTCCCCATTGTTCAAATGGTGCTAAATAATGGATAGAGGTCAACTCTTCTGCAGGGGCATGTATAGCATTACCAAACCTCTAACACTTGTCGCACCTTTTAGCATATTCAGTTGTATCTTTCTTTATAGTTGGCCAGTAGTACCCATACCTTGTTAATTTGTAGGTAAGGGCTCTGGCTCCCTGGTGATTTCCGCATATTCCCTCGTGAACCTCAGTCAGGGCTTGAAGAGATTCGAAAGGTTTGAGGCATCTCAAATAGGGAAGTGTGAAACATCTTCGAAACAGTACCCCTCTGATAATACAATACCTAGCAACTTTTGCCCGAATACTCCTTGCGATACGAGGGTCAGGAGGTAGGTTTCCATTACTTATATACTCAACTATTGGATCAATCCAGGAAGGCTCATGGTCAATGTCCATGACGCTCGGCTTCGTGTTTATGCTAGGCTCTTTGACAATCTTGATGTGTACTGCTCTGTCGAGTCCATCTATCCTCATGAAAACGAGCCTGGATAGTGCGTCAGCTTTGGAGTCATATGCTCTTGCTATTTTCAATATTTCACAACTTGTGAACTGTCTCTGAAGATCATGCACTTTTAGGCAGTACAAACTCGTCTTTTCATCTTTCCTTTCAAAGGATCCTTCGATCTATCCAACAACGAGCTGTGAGTCACTGAAGACTCTAATATGCTCTAATTCCAAACTTCTGGCGAGTTCGAGAGCAATGACCATGGCTTTATATTCCGCTTCGTTGTTGGTTGCTTCAAACTCAAACCTAAGCGCGCATTGAACTTCAGTGACCTTGTCCAGGCTGATGATAATTATCCCAACACCCGAGCCTGAGCTATTTGATGCCCCATCGACAAATATCTCCCAGGTTTTCGAGGTCTTGCTTTGATTTTTTATTTTGGGCCCTTGTGGTTTTGGAGTGAGTTCAGCTATGAAGTCGGCCAAAGTCTGTGCCTTAATAGAAGGTCGAGGCTTGAATTCTATATCAAACTCACCAAGCTCGATCGCCCACCTTAATAACCTTCTTGAAACATCTGGCCTCTGAAGTATGTGCTTGAGTGGTTGATTGGTGAGAACTATTATGGGGTGAGATTGGAAATACTGCCACAACTTTCTAGTAGTTACTATGAAGGCAAGAGCTAACTGTTTCGCAAGGGTATACCGAGTTTCGGTGTCAAGAAGTACTTTACTGACATAGCAGATGGGTTGTTGCACTTTTCCTTTTTCCTTTACTAGCACCCCACTTACGGCATTTCGAGAGATAACCAAGTAAAGGAACAAAGTATCACCAGGCTCTGGTTTGGCAAGAACCGGAGGTACAGCTAAAGTTTGCTTAAGCTGTTGGAAGGCTAGATCACATTCATCATTCCATTCAAAGCTCTGGTTACCTCTTAGAACTTTGAAAAAGGGGAAACATCTGTTCGCTGCCCGAGAGATAAATCTGTTCAATGTTGCTACTCGACCTATAAGCTTTTGGATTTTTTTTTTGGTTTTTGGGGCTTCCATAGATATTAGGGCTTGGATTTTGTCAGGATTGGCTTCTATTCCTCTATTTGTGATCATAAAACCTAGAAACTTTCCTGATGCTACCCCAAAGGCACATTTTGTCGGGTTAAGTTCCATGTTGTATTTCCGCAGCGTGGAAAACACTTCTTTGAGATCGGTGATATGATTATCCACCTATTTACTTTTGACCACCATGTCATCTACGTAAGCCTCAGTGGTTTTTCCAATCAAATCAGCAAAGACCTTGTTAATTAGCCTCTGATATGTAGCCCCTACATTCTTTAACCCGAATGGCATGGCCTTATAACAATAGATGGCTGAATCGGCCATGAATGAGGTCTTCTCTTGATCTTCTGTGGCCATTGGTATTTGATGGTATCTTGAGAATGCATCCAAAAAGCTATACAATTTGTGACTCGAAGTGCTGTCAATGAGGCTGTCACTCCGAGGTAGGGGATAGCTATCTTTCGGACATGCTTCGTTCAAATCAGTGAAGTCAATACAAACTCGCCACTTCCCATTAGCCTTTTTCACGAGAACTGCATTGGCAAGCCAGTTAGGATATTGTACTTCTCGGATGAATTGTACATTGAGGTGCTTGGCAATCTCTTCTCGTATGACTTCGCGTCGTTCTGGTGTAACCTATTTTTTCCTTTGTTTGACAGGTTTGGCTTCTGGGTTTACATTGAGCCTATGTACTATATCCTCGGGGTCAATTCTCGGCATGTCTTCAACTGTCAAAGCGAGTACGTCTTGGTTTTGGGAGAGACAACTTATGAGTTTAGCCATGATGGTTAAATCAAGGTCACGTCCTACTATCACCTTCCTACCAGGCTCGAGCTCGACCTTGACCAACTCCTCTACCGGGGTGAGTCTCCCACGATTTTCAAGCTCGAGCTCGAGCTCTGAAAGCTATATGACATCTCCCTTCATTTTTTGGACACTAGTTACATAGCCCTGGCATGCCATGGTTTAGCTTCCTCGAACGACTCCAACTCCACTACATGTGGGGAACTTCATCGCCAGGTGAAAAGTTGAGATAACAGTTCTGATTTTATTTAGTAAAGGTCTCCCCAGAATGGCGTTGTAGGCCATCAGAGTTCGGACAACTTCAAAAGTTATGATATAGGTTACCTGCCGACCTTCAGATCCCAAAGTCATGGGTAACCCAACAATACCTTCAGGGGTAATGACCCCGCCACCAAATCCTTGGAGGGGTGTTTTAACAGGCTTGAGTTGTTCTACTGAGATACCTATCTGAACAAAAGCTTCATGAGACAGTACATTAGCTGCACTTCCGTTATCCACAAGAATCCTCTTGACCTCAAAGTTAGCTATGACAGCTGATATGACTAAGGCGTCATCATGGGGAAAGGATATTCCTTCCAAATCCTTTGACCCGAAGGTGATATCTTTCGTATGAGCAAGATCTATATTGGAAGAGGCTGGAAGCTGTCTAGCATACTGCTTATGTCCACTATTAGTGTCTCCTCCTGAAGTTGTTCCTCCGACAATAACGTTAATCGTGCCTGCCGTTGGCGGTTCACTACCACACCCTTCCTGTATGTTGTTCTTATTGTTCCTCGAGCGTTTTTCATGGTTAGTGTAAGATCCTGAAACATCCCTCCTAATGAGAGCCTCAATTTGTTACTTCAGAGCCAAACAGCCCTCAGTGGTATGTCCGTTGTCCCGGTGAAAGTTACAGTACTTGGTTTTGTCTCTATTTTCAGGTAATGACTGCATTCTAGGAGGCCATTTAAGCTCTTTAAGGTCCTTGATCTCCATCAAGATGTTGGACCTTGATATATTCAAGGGAGTAAAGGTTTCTAGTCGGGGGTTTTATCTTGGCTTGACCCGAGGAGTGTTGTCTCGTTGATTGGGTTTACGCGGTCTCTTATTATCCGACCTAAGTAAAGGTGAAGCATCCTTTCTTGGGGCTAGAGTTTCTTCCATATTGATGTATTTCTCAGCTCGAGTAAGGAGGTCAATTATTGACTTTGGGGGGGGGTTTTACAAAGACATCTTGAATGCTTCGCATCTTATGGCGTACGTCAAAGCTGAGATCGCAGCTGTAATATGTAGATCTGGAATCTGAAGTCTTTCTTTATTTAATTTGGTCATGAAATTGCGTAATGTTTTATTAGGCCCCTGGCGCATCTGCATAAGTGATGCCGCTGTTTTCCTGATTCGCTTGCTGCTTGCGAAGAAAGCGGAGAATTTATCAGCTAGGTCTGCGAACGAAGTGATAGAGTTCAGCTCTAATGTGGAGAACCAATCTCTAGCTGCGCTTGTAAGAGTTTGAGGGAAGGCTTTGCACATTACAGCGTCAGGTGCGACCTGTAAGTTCATGATATCGGTATATATATTGAGGTGGTTAATAGGGTCGGTGGTCCCATCATATTCCTTTATCCTGGGATACTTGAACCTATCCGAAAGGGGGTAAGACAATACCTCAGGAGTAAAGGGAGTGCTCGGGGTAAAGCCTGTTGCCCCCTTTGATTTCTATGCTAATCCCACAGCAATACCTTCTTAGATGATTCTGGCAAGTTCACTTGACTCTATCGTTACTGCCCTTGAGGCCGCGGTCATAGGAGGTACATTCGAGGTTCCAACACCATTATCAAGAATGTTTTGTGGAGCTCAAACTTGAGCAGCTGCCAAAAGATCACCATCTGGTGTCGGTGTATGCAATGGGTGTGAGTTTCTTTAGCTTAATAATTGAGTCAATGTGGTAACTTGTTGGCGGAGCTCTTCGAAAGCTCCGGCGGTAATGACAGCCAGTGGTGGTGCTGCCATCTCTAATGATTCCTCTTGAGGGACAGGATGATCTTTAGGGGGAGGATTTGGAGCGGATGAGCTTGTTGGTGGAAGACCTGATCGTGTATTCACCACGGCTTTTGGTAGAGATTTCCACAGACGGTGCCAATGATGCTACCAAAAAATTGTACCTGATAGACCGCGAATTTGTGGTTTGAACTCCGAACTTGGATCTCACAAATGAGCATGAACAGTCTTCCGATACCTGAAACAAAAGTCAACGAGGTGTGTTCTCGTCTCTCCTTCGATGCTTAAGTCAGACGGGGAGATTGATGGGAGAAGGTTTTGAATTTGTAGTAATAAAAAGCATACCTTGATGTTGAGTCTTGGCTAAGTATTTATAGGTGTTGGTGGGGGGAGCTCTAGAAGGATTCTATTAGTAAAAGAGTCATTTTCCCCTTAGGGCTAGGTGTTGGAGTTTAATTAGAAGTGTATTGTTAAAGTTCTAATCAAAGAAGGAGTAGATTTAGATGGGGTCTACTTTTTGGAGATTAAGTCGATGGGTAAGGTCGAATTAGATAAAAACCCCGACCTTATACCGGCATGACACCCCAAGATCAACTCGGGGGGTCATAGCTCGAGGTCGAGATTTGTGGGCGAAATGAAGTCGAGTTTGGGGCAACCAAACCTGAGTCATCATTAGTCATTGCTTTTCTCATTAAAGTCTATATAAGAATACAAAAATCAATAAATCTGTAATACTCTTTCAACAATGACAACCAAAAAGCAATTTCTACTATCTTAGGCTATTTTAGTAGGGTTTTACAAAGTACCAAATTTTGTTGACACATTTTTGTGCAGGTATTTAAGACGAGTTCATGTTAAATCTCAGTAAAATTGTTAAATTTCTTAGGTTTAGCATGTATTCCATGTATACGTATATTAACAAGGTAAGATATTTTTGGATGACAAAGTGAAGGGATAAGGTAGTGTTAACTACTCAAATATCTTAGATGATAGGCGACAGAAAAACCACCTCCATCATAGGAAAAAGTCAAAAAGATACCTTATCCACATCGTAAATATCTTAGCTCTTCTTCTTAGACTATAAATTGATTGGAACCCTGAGCGAATCCAACCATTCAGAGCCAAGCTAAACAAAATGCATGCAGCTTTAAGCTTGGCACCTCCTGCTTTCCCTTGCACACTTTCCTCTCTGCCCCCGCCAAAGCTTTGTGTTTCAAATTGTTTGCGATTTCTTTCAATCAGAACAAATGCCCTCGCAGTTAACTATAACTCCACGATCTCGTAAGTGCATATAACTTTTCTTATATATGTATTTTTATTACGTGTTTTGTTCCATTTCTGATTTTTGTGGTCTTTCCACTATGTAGTGTTTTTCTAGTAGAAGCCTGTGAAACAATTGGCGAAGATAGCTGCATAGCAGATATATATTCGGAAGTGAAGCTCAGGCCAGAGACCCAAAGCAATATGCTAAAGATTCCCTCTGAACCAGTTGATAGAGAGTACATTGATTATGCTGATCCCAGAACGTAAGAATCTCAACTTAACACTCTATATATAATTGTTTGTATCATTGTTACAGATCAATAAAGCCATGGCGTTGTACTAACTAGAAAATTTGTTTACATGCTTCCAGCATGTTGCTGGGCCAAGCTTGTGACGTTCTGGGAAGAGAATTCTATCAGCCAGCATGCCAACCGAGAATTCGCTAGAACCACTATTATCATACTTTTTGGCATTTGTAGTATCTAGTTGATAAACAGAGACTAGAAAGAAATTGAAGAAATTTTTGATTTTTTTCATACATTTGTAATATTCTAGTTGAGATTAGTGGATCTTGAGCTTCATCTCGTGGAAGATGCTCAACGGTTGATTAGGTCGTTAAGACTAGACATCCGAGCTCTTTTTGGGGCAAAAACAATTCTGTGTGTTCGTGTCTTACATTTTTTGCAATTTTTAATATTGTATAACACGTTTCAAAGATTCTAAAACACTCTGGGACTGAACAATGGCATCAGAGCATCTTTAGGGATTTGACTGTGTGCTTGTGTAAACCCTAGTTGTCAAATTTTATTAAAATTACAGATGTGGTTTAGGAAGGGGGACTTGTGCAGTTTTTTTTTTTTTATATATATCCTCAATTTCACTTTTGGCTAGATCCCTTGAGGAAAATCTTGTTATTTTTGGATAAACTTACAAGATTTCGTGAGATCGTGTGTTGTTACTCAAAGATTAAAAGTTTCTGTTTACAAAACCTTTAACTCGTTGGTGACTCGTTTAGATCTGCTGTTTATAATGAGTTATGGTGATTTTCTTTCTTGACTCGTCATTAAGTTTTAGTAGATCGTGAGTCTGGCAAGTTGAGTTAACTCACTCCGATTCCTACTGAGCTCCTGACAAACTATTAAGTTTACATTGAGTCATTGAGACTCAAAGAGTTCTTGTGCCTGCATTGGAGTCCTCGTTCAACCCTGATTCTCTGATTGTTCTTCTCATTCTTAAATTTGGAATTTCAGACTCTGGCACTCTCTGTAACTCTCCATTTTATCTTCTATCTAGCCCATGTTAATTCTAAAACTAGTTATTATTAAGGCAAGTAATCTACCATTACTTTCCTTCGTCCAAGATCTCCTGCGAGATCTAGAAATCTAAGGGAGGAGTGGAATCAAGGATTACCACTCATTAGGCTATTTCAAATTGACAAATTATATTTGCTAATAGTAAACTTGTGCTTGTGTAAATTGTTTGATAAGTAAGCAGGAATACATACATTGGATATGTTCTGAACTTCACATTTTTTGCTATTATACTGAATCACCTGTATCAATAATACTATGTGTGTTGTATTGCTGTAATTTTGTAAATCAATTTGTCAATATGTCCATTGAACACAAATTTGAAGTCGAGCATGGAATGGCACCAAAGGCTTTGGTCTCTAGCGCTAGAAAACGAGAGCCCTATTGTTATAACAGAGGTTTGCTGGTGCTCTTGATGGGACTTGGGCTGCTGAGATTAGTGCCTATAGGAGACAAGAACTTGATGAAATTACCTGGAGTTCCATTTTTCTTCATCTATCAGATAGTGTGATTAGAAAAATTGGTGAAACTACTACTGCTGAAACCTTATGAGCTAAGTTAGAAACTCTTTAACTAACTAAAACTATGCCTAAAAAGTGCTATCTTCTAAGGCAGATTTACAACTTTAGATTTGAATCCTCTTGCAGACTAGAAAAAAACATTAACAAGTATACAAATTATTTCAAGAATTAGCTAATTGTGATGAAAAATTTGTCCGAGGATCAACAAGTTGCTGGCCTGTTGAACTCACTAAGTGAAAAATATAGGGACATCAATAATGCTTTAGAATATGGGAGAGAAGATCTGACTGTTGACAGTATTTTCGGCCCTAAGGAATAAAGAACTTGAACTACAAACTGAGTTCAAATATTCTAAAACTAGTGAAGGGCTAACATAAAAGAAAAACCAATATGAAGCAGAAAGAACAACCAGTGTAATTTCAATTCTTCAAAGAAAGGAAAATATCTTAACCAAAAGTTCAAAGATAAAAAAGGAGAATCAAGTGAAAACTAAAAATCAGGTCAGAAAATGCTATTATTATGGAAAAATAGGACATTTAATAAAGGAATGTTTTAAGAAAATCTCTAACATGAAAGAAAGAAATAATTCAAATGGTTTTGCAGCAATTGCCTGCAAGAATGCCTATGATATTCAATGTGTTGTACTTGTGAGTACAATAAGAAGAAATCCAAAAGAATAGGTCCTTGATTCAGATTGTACTTTTTACATGTGCCCCATTAGAATATGGTACTCTGAATTTGTTGAACTTGATGGATGACACAATCAAATGGAAAATGATATGAGTTGTCAGATCAAGGGAATTGGAAAACTGAAATTGGTGTTGAATAACAATTATACACTTGAACTAAAGAATATCAGATATGTCACTGAACTTAAAAGAAATCTAATCTCACTAGATGAATCAGA